CCTTCCAATCACCAAAGAAATTACATACATAAAAGCTTAGTAATGTCTTTGAATTTGTACTCGCGCAACAGTCAAAGTCGCCATCTTTGTTCGTACAAGTCCCATATGTTGTGCATGCGTGGCCCTTTAAGTGTAGGTGTTTCTGGAACACTATTGACAATCAAGTTCATTGACCGATATTTCTAAGCAATAATAAAGATTGGTAGTAATTTTTGAGAGGATATTCAACTCAAAAGATAAAGCGGAGAAAAAACAGAAAATATGGATCCATCAGAGAACTAGGATATATGGTGTAAAAACAAATTTATTATATACCAAACAGAAACAACACAGCACACAATTTAATTGCAACAAACCCTCAAACACTATATATTGCCTTCCAGGAACACATTTAAATATAACTCATCTGATTAAATAAAATTAATCTATTAGTGGAATTCAACAGCACATTTAACACCCCTCCCCTCCAAAAAAAAAAAAAAATTATATTTCATTTCCTTAATGTAGAAACTTAATCATAGTTTTTGCGAAAGTTGGTCATCAATCTCATGACAGTGTTCATTGGTCTATTATGTAAAATCATGGAACAGTCACAGTGACATATTTTGAGAAATTTCTCTTACTATTTTTCAAAAATCGCTATTTTTAAAACAATTTACACAAAAATTCAGATAGGTTTTTTTGCGCAGAATTTTCAATTTTGGATAAAACAATCACAAGTGTTACTAAATGATTGAATGTAAATAAATTACATGGGACTATTTGTGAATGAAGATAAAGAAAATAGTAGTGAACAGATTTGGAAAAAATGATACAACTACTGTAGAATTCATTTAAATATGATTTGCATACCATTTATATCAGCCAATAAATCAACTACATTATACATTTTGCATAATTAAATGAGGGGATATCATTTTACTGGCATATGGAAGTTACTATTTACAGATGATCCAACAATTTAACAATTAGTGCTACTGTAAAATCAGTGAAATGTCACAATATTTCAAGGCAAATCACACATTGTCATACAAGGCATTTTCTTTTCACAAACTCTTGAGGGCGGTATACACAAAGGTGATAAATTATAAATATATTACACAACATTAGGACGACACAGTCTGGTTCTAGCTCTCTATGCCATTTATTACAAAATTCCCAATTCATGGTACCCATTGATACCTGGAAGTATTTGCATACTCTCAAACTCATTGCCGGCAGAAAAAATAAAACTGGCTTAAAGTGTCAGCAAGCAAAAAAGTTCCCCCCCCCCCCCCATGAGCATGTGTACCAAATGGTATTAGATAGATACTATAGACCCATTAAAAAATAAGTCTCTCATTTTTTTGAATTTACACTATAGTTTTACACTATCAAGTCAGGGTGTCACGTAGGCACCCAATGAATGTAATCTCCCTTACAACTTATGGCAATAGATGAATACCAAACAAGAATGACCAAGCCTTACGTATGGGAGTGGAACAAAATGGCGGACTGTAACAGTTAGGTCATCCATTACCAGGATGATCGAATCATGGAGGTATAAACAGAAATTATATTTCCAACTCTAGTGATGATACTTTTAAAAAAATAAACAAAAAGTCAAAAAAATCAAATTTTCGAAAATCAACTCCTTGGGCTTTGCATAAAGTAAGACATACTTTAGGAAAATGATAGCAC